CCTCCCACCAAGAAAGGCACTGTGATGACATTTGTGGCCTGTGGCCATAGAAACAATGATAACATGAACAAAGACATGCCATAAGGAGACCGAATCACAAGCTTGAATACTTACGTGGGTCCGTCCTGGAGCAGCGAAGGAGCCTTGTTGAGATGCAGCACCAGGCGGTGGTACCACGTGGCTCTGGATGCACGAAAAGCAATGCCAGCCACTGGGTCCTCATCTCCAGAAGGTGAAGGTGCTAGTGTAGAGCATGGCTGCTTTGTTGTTACAGGTGGTGGAGGTGGTGGAGGTGGAGGAGGAGGAGGAGGAGGAGGAGGAGGAGGAGGAGGAAGGGGTGGTTCTGATCCTCCAGCCATCTGAAACAAGCCTTAAATTACCACCAAGCAGATGTCAGTCTTGAGAATTCATGCTACCAGAATCATGGTTTCCCAGTGGTGTATGCACAGCTTAAAGGCAGTTAATTAATTTTCTGGTCAGGGTGTACTTTCCTACCTAACGTTAGAAAAAATTGTACACCATTCGTCGTGTTTAAGACAGGACATATCGTAACTAATCTCAAAACAGGTAGAATCATGCTCCTACCTTCGAATTTCACTAACTTCGATGGCGGGCCCCCGGGCGCCGCGCGCACCGCACCGCCTGGACTCCCTAGCGCCGTTTCTGCGTTGCCGTTGCGTAAATACAATATTTCTGCTCACCAAGAACTCTACAAAATGTACGGGACCAAAGTAAACCATTCGTCGTGTTTAAGGCAGGACATATCGTAAATGATCACAAAACAGGTAGATTCATAATCTTACCTTCAATTTTTTATAATTACGATGGCGAACTCCCGAGCGCCGCACACACACAGCACCCGCGACACCGGCGCCATTACTGCGCGGGTCACAACATTACTGTGCATCAAGCAGCATCAAGAACCATAAAAATGTACCGGGCCAAGGTAACAAGAAGCCATGAAATTTGATCCTCGACGCCACCGGGACCATGGGTTGCAGGGGGATTGGGTGGGGAATGTAAAGCAAAATGAGAACATGACAGCTAAATAAAAGCTCACTATATGGCACCTATATATGGCACGGAACATGGACGCCAATGGGATGCTGGGTTGAAGGGGATATAGGGTGGGGAGGTTAGGTTAGGCTAGGCTAGGTTAGGTTAGGTTAGGTTAGGATAGGTTAGCTAGGTTAGGGTAGGTTAGCTTAGCTAAGCTTAGGTTCTGGTCTATTAGCTTATATCTAAGCTCATAAGGTCTATGAGCTTATATTTAAGCTCAGGTTAGGTTAGGTTAGGTTAGGTTAGGTTAGGTCAGGTCAGGTCAGGCTAGGTCAGGTCAGGTCAGGTCAGGCTAGCTTAGCTTAGCTTAGCTATGGGATGCTGGGTTGAAGGGGATATAGGGTGGGGAGGTTAGGTTAGGTTAGGTTAGGATAGGGTAGGTTAGCTTAGCTAAGCTTAGGTTCTGGCCTTTTCTCAGGTTAGGTTAGGTTAGGTTAGGTTAGGTTAGGTTAGGTTTGGTCAGGTCAGGCTGGCTTAGCTTAGCTTAGCTTAGGCTCTGGTCTATTCTCAGTTAGGGTAGGTTAGGTTAGGTCAGGTTAGGTCAGGTTAGGCTAGGTTAGGTTAGGTTAGGTTAGGTTAGTTTAGGTTAGGCTGGGCTAGGTTAGGCTAGGTTAGGTTAGGTTAGGTTAGGTTAGGTTAGGTTTGGTTAGGTTGGGCTCGGGAGCCCGCCATCGAAGTTATTGAAATTCGAAGGTAGGAGCATGATTCTACCTGTTTTGAGACTATTTATGATTTGTGCCGCCTTAAACACGACAAATGGTGTGCAATGATTTTTTCTAATGCTAGGTAGGAAAGTACACCTACACCAATTTTCTTTGGCCCAGCAACATATTAATGTTGATGAGCCTTAACCCAAACTTGAGAAGCATCACAATGATATTTAGAAGTCAGCAACTGGATTCAGCTGCTAACTGTTCACTGATTGTAGCCCACATCAACTCTATGCTATAATGCCATGACTGAGGCAATTTCATCATGCCAGCCAGCAAAAAAATCCATCCATTGAACAAAACACCTACTGACAATGGTACAAACAACCTCACACTTGAGTGCAGTTTATTCATGCTTTAGCAAATTTTACTAATTTTTCAAATTAACTTCAGCTAAAAATGCATCATGACAACTTTTTGTCAATCTCAACATCATAGTTACTTGAAACACTAGGCTTCCTATGACTGAAATCTGTGAGAACTGTGTCAAATTCTGAGCAGATTTGCTGTGAGGATGCTCTGAAAGTTTCACACTCTGTGTGACATTTGTCTTTGGCAATTTGGCCAATAGGCCATGGTCAATTTGCGTGGGGCCCACGTGACTTATGAAGCCAAGTACAAGCAATTTGTCTCAGCTTTAAAGAGCTCCTGGTGTGGCAATACAACTAAGGTAGCGATAATATACCAATTTTTCCCATACATATCTCAAACATGATGCTTTGGTGGGTCTAATCCATCTAATCAAGATCTTTCATCGTGTAAATACCAGATATTAAACCAGGTAGCAGGCTGGCAAAAGCTGCAGCGAAGGTGGAGAAACCGGAGAAACCCAATCATCGGGGCATTGGAAAAATCCAAAAAATTATATCAGGCAACAGAACCTGGTGTTTCCGAAAAGAGTACATACTCTCACAATTTTCGTCTGGAAAGAACGCTGTCGGAGATAAAAATCGCCTCGCGGGCTCTCAGGTTAGTCGAGGAGTAGTTTGTGTGTGTGTGTGATTGGGACTTTACGACGCACTCAGCTGCTGAGGCTATATGGCGTCGCCTGCCTCTCACCCTGGCAGGAAATGCGGGCACCGCGGGGAATCGAACCCCGTACCTCGAGGAATAGTTATTACGGCAACCAGCGCAAGTTATCGTCACAGAAAAGCCACATATGCAACGATAGTTGACAACGCCATCTATTGTTTGTATTAAAGATCTTCCATTTGCCACCCAATACTGTGCTTGTAAGACTGTACAAATGGCAGTCATAATTAATACTTTAAGTGCAGTTCCTAAAAGCTCGTTTCTTTTGTTAACAACATATGTGAATCATACAAATACAATATACACTTGTCCTTAGAAATTGTAAAGCTGTTGCTATGGTAACAGCAAACCTGGATCAACGCTACCATGCAGTGCTGCGAATATAAGTTAGCGTGGTACGTGATAATAAAAGTGTTGGATGCTGGGAGACTGGGGCGCTGACCGGTGTGTACACAACTACCTGTCTTGACGGCGGGGTGCGCAAGGATGCTCGGATGAAGCTTTTTGAGCGGGGGCGACGAAGTGTTGACTAGATTTGTGTTCTGGTGAGGACGAAGTGTTCGCAGGTTAGTTGTACTCCCGATTTGTAAATTGCGTGCCAGAGACATACTTTGCGACGGCGGACAGTTGACGAGCAGATAATTGTTCTTATTCATTTTCCACGGCTGGCATTGCTGAGTGTTAGCCATGCCAAATATTGCAAGCAGGCTTGATTCTAGGAGCTTCTTAAATTTTGTCATCTAATGCCAACTGTCAAGTTAATGTGTTATTTACTGAAATAGGCGAGTGTTGTCTGATTTTTATCTACGGATGCGGCAAGCAACTGCGTCCATAACAAACCTAGCGCTGTGCGTAAGTTGAAACATGACCGAAACACCGAGTGATATTATCGGCGCTTTTGAGGCAGAGTCCTTCGTTGAGTCCTTGGAATGCATTGATCTGGCGGACGTAGGCTCGGTGAAATGGATGACACTGCACGAGAGGCTAGAATCTCTCAACATGCAAGCACTGTTGGAAGCGCAAGGCCAAAAGGAAGAGAACGTCAAAGACCTCATCATCTCCCGCGACAGGCTACCATTTTTGATAAAGGACCTAATACTGACAGAAGTTTGGAGGGACAAAATATTTCCAGAAGTCCTGAAGCAAAACGAGAAGCCGAAAACCTCAATCGGTATATACATCGTGTTGCACCACGAAGTGACGGTGCTCTCTCTCCTGGAACTGGTCACATTCCGACTGCAGGCCACGGTGAGACCGACCTCCGCATTGGAGGCTCTGGGCGACCTCGTCCTGGACCTGATCGACTACTGCCACCGCGCCGTGGTGCACCTCATCGCCCACCCTGAGATCCGGCTCGAGCGCGACGAGACCGGTCAGCCGACGATCGAGGAGCAGCTGGTGCGGCAGCGTGACGACCTGCGCTTCATGCAGGCCGTGCAGGCGGTGTCGCTGCTGCAGCACGTGTGCGAACAGCTGGACCAGCTGACCGTGTCGGCGTCGTCGCGCCTGCTCCGCCAGCACGACCTGCCGCTGCTGCTGGTGCAGCTGCTGGACGCGCGGCCGTGGATACGCACCAACCGCGCCGGCCGCCGCCAGAAGTACGACAACCGCAGCTGGGTGGCGTCGCCGCGCGACGATTTCGCCATCGCCAAGGTGGAGGGCCAGGTGTGGCTGACACTGCTACAGCTGCTGATGAACCGCGACCATCTGGCGCTGTACGAAATCTCCGAGTATCGGCGCAGCCAGCTGCTGCGGCTGCAGACACACCTGACGGACGTGCTGCTGGACCAGGTGCCGCCGCTGGCCGCCCTCCGCCAGTGGCTGGCGCACCTCTCCATGAGCCAGCCGCCGCCGGCGCGCTCCCCCGTCATCATCGAGACCGTGCCCGAGCTGCGAGATGGCTTGCTCGAGCGCCACGCCGGCCAGTGGGCGAGGCTCGCGCGCCGCCAGCTGGAGCAGCACTTCCGCGCCGACGCCGCCGCCATCCAGGAGCAGGCGCGCCGCCTGGCGGCCGTCTACGACCTGGACAAGATGGCGCCGCTCATGACCGACGCGACGAAGTGCGGCGCCTGCGGCGAGGCCGCCGCCAAGAAGTGCTCACGCTGCAAGGCGGTGTGGTACTGCGGCCGTCAGTGCCAGGTGAAGCACTGGCCCGCCCACAAAGAGCACTGCGACAACGCCTGAGAGCAGAGACGCGTGTCCGACATCAACGCATGCGAACGCGGGGCTCCGGCAGCGGTAAAAAAAAAAAATAGTAGCGTGCAGGGTCACCGGCCTCTTTTAGATGACTTCCCACATGATGAAGATACGGCAGATGTTAATGGCATGCATTAGTTCTATATTCCTTGCTGTGTATTACGTTTGTCACCAACCTCCTGGGCTTCAGTAGGGTTCGGAGCATCATACGCGTTTCATGTGGTTTCTGGTGAATATATTTGCACGCGACATCGCAGCTGTGTGTATGCATACGTTGAAACTCTGTACATTTAGGGTCGGGGACTCGAGCTCCGACAGCCGCACGCCACCGAGCGTCAAAGACCGCTCAGAGACCACCGGCTAAGCACGGCGGCTTCACCGCTCCACCGCGAAGCGACGTCTCGCATCGCAACGGCACCGCCTCAGATGACATTGCGACGCACTGCACGCGGCTGCACGGCCACGCGCACGGCCTGACACAGCGACAGTAGCCAGTCCTCAGGGCGCAGCACCTTGCAGCCGGGCTCCTTGACGTCGAGCACGACCGAGATCTCGACCTCGCCATCCTCTGACCACACCTGGTGGCTGACCAGCACGGTGGTGCGCAGCCGGTAGCCGCCGTCCGCCTCCGGCAGCGCGCGGAAGTCGGTGGCGCGCGGCATGATCAGCTGCGCCCGCTGGTCCGGGTACTGCACGCGCACGCGCACCTGGCTGACGTCGGCCACGTGCTGCAGCTCGCAGTCCAGCGGGATGCCGAGCACCAGGCCGGCCGTGAACTTCTGCGGGTGCTCCGTCTCCTGGCGCGGCTCGTAGATGACGGCCGTGGCCTGCGTCAGCGGCGAGCGCAGCTGCAGCGGCGGCACCGGACACTCGGTCAGCAGCGGCGCCAGCACGCGCGCCATGGCGCCCGCCTTGCGCTCCTCCAGCGCCTCCAGGCCGCGCACCAGCGCCTCGATGAAGCCATCCAGCGGCTGGCCCGTCTCGACCAGGTGGCGTTCCAGCTGCTGCGCCTGCTCGAGGAAGTACTCACCGAGCGCCAGCGCCGAGCCGGTGCGGCCGCGCACCAGCAGCACCAGCCGCAGGCCCAGCAGACGCAGGCGTAGCTGGCGCACGGCGGCCGCCTCGGCCGGCGCCAGGCCTGAGAAGCGGTGCTGCAGCTGCAGCGTCAGCGCCGTCAGCTGGTCGGCACTGGCCTGCAGGCGCGCCGGCCCGGCGGCGCTGGCGCCGCGCCAGCTCTCGTCGGCCGTCACCTGCGCCAGCAGCATCTGGCAGTGGATATAGGCCGACGCGAACTGGGCGCGCGCCGACAGCGCCGTGTCGATCTGCGCCAGCCGGTCCAGGTCGCGACGACACTGCTCGAGCGCGGCCCGCCGGCCGCCCGGCGAGCCGGCGCCATCGGCAGCGGCCGCGCGCCGCAGCACACTCTGCAGGAAGTCGGCGCCGTTGTCGTGCGCGGCGGCCGCCTGCCGCCGGCCGGCCCACACCTGGCCGGGCAGCTGGTCAGGCACCAGGTGCGGCAGCGTGTCGCGAAGGTAGAGGAAGTGACGTTGCGTGCGCTCGTCCAGCAGCGCCATCATGGTGGGCGAGCCGGCGGCGGCGTTCATCACCAGCAGCAGGATGCAGATGTAGGCCGGGTCCTGCACGTCCTGCTCCGGCAGCTGGAAGTACGGGTGGATGTTCAGCAGATTGGGCACTAGCGGCAGCACCAGGTCCGGGTGTGCCGAGCCCATACGCTGGAAACAGCGCCACAGGCTCCGCTTGTCCTGCGGGTAGCGCTTCAGGTTCTTGAGCAGCTTCTCCACGCAGAGTCGGAGCGAGTCGGTGTTGCCCAGCCGGCAGTCGCCGAGCATGCGGTGCAGGCCCTCGCGCGTGTCGATCGAGTACACCTCGAGCACGGCCAGGATCTCATCCAGCTGGTCCTCGCGCAGCGTGATCATCTGGCCGATGCGCGAGAGCGAGTCGACGGCGCGCAGCCGCACCTCGGCGATTTCGTCGTTGAACATGTCCACGATGAAGTCGAGGCTCATCTCGGCGAAGTGCGGATGCAGCGTGGCCAGCTCGGTCATCGACTGCAGCGCGGCGGCGCGCACCTCCAGGTACTCGTCCTCCAGGCCGTGCACGAACGCGCCGCACGCGCCCGACGACATCAGGCTGACCGTGTCGGCTTGCAGCTGCTCCTTGGGCGCGTCGTCGCCCCACTTCTTGCCCGACGACCACTCGCCGCGCACGACCAGGCTGCGCAGTCGCTCGTGGCCCGAGCGTTTGCGGCGCATGTTCGACATCAGCTTCTTGTCGAGCGTCTGCTCCAGGAAGCGGGTCGACACGGAAGTCATGCTACCCAGCAGCGTAGCCGCCTGCACGCGCACGCGCACGCCCAGGTCGTTAATGGCGTTACAGACGTGCCCGAACGCGTCATCAGCCAGGCGCACCGTCTGGTCCGAGTCGGTGAGCGCCACCGGGTGCTCTGGGTACGCTTGGGCCAGCACGTGCACCAGGCGCAGCGCCACCTCGCGCACGGTCTCGTAGTCGTCGTGCAGCGCGGCCGTCGTGTCGGCGTAGAGCGCCACATCCAGCGGCAGGCCGCGATCGTGCAGCGTCAACAGCGCCTGCAGGGCGGCGGCGCGCACCCGCGGGTCCTGTGCACGTGTGGCCTCGCCCAGGCGGCGCACGTCCTCCGGTGCCGGCGGCGGGCTGACGGGCAGCAGGCGACCGAGCAGCGCCAGCGCGCGCGCGCCCGCCTGGTGACCGGCGTCGGTGAGCCGCGGCCGCGCGGCAGCCACCAGGCGACCGGCGAGGCGGGCGTCCGGCGCCGCCGCCGCGCCCAGCTCGGTCAGTGTGGCCAGCAGCTGCGCCGCCACCACGCCCGACGCCTCCTGGTCGAGCGCAGCAGCCAGCTCGTCGGCGGTGGCGGCGGCCGGGCCGCGCTGGCCGGACCCGACGATCAGCTGGCCGATGAGGCGCAGCAGCGCGCAGCGCACGGCCGAGTCCTGGTCACGACTGAAGACGTCCAGCAGGCGGCGCACCACGCCTCCCACATCGTCCACCTGCGGCGCAAGGGGGAGGGTGACTGCCGGCGCGCAGACACCGAGGGCCGGTGGAAAGGCGGGGGTCCCCACAATCTCAGATCTCCTCCAATCGGGTATGATGGCAACACGCGGGCGTGCACGAGGATAGCGCACTACGGTACTTTGCAGGAGGGCGGTAGCTTAGGCAGCAGAATACATATTTAAATTTTAAACTAATTAAGCAGCTGGAATTATACAGAAATACATACAACTGTTAATGACTTCTGTCTCACAAACTTTTCCTGCGGTTCTTGCATTCACTGAGGATAAACCACATAATAGAGGCGTCGGAATGAGCTACGCTTCAGTTCTGGCTCCCCAAGCACTTGCGCTGAGCTGCGCCACCCTTCAGCTGGGGCCCTGCACCGCGGTGTCAGCCGGGTCCCACTCCCGCTGTGCCAGAGCACTTGTGCTGAGCTGCGCCACCCTTCAGCTGGGGCCCTGCACCGCGGTGTCAGCAGGGTCCCACTCCGGCTGTGCCAGAGCACTTGCGCTGAGCTGCGCCACCCTTCAGCTAGGGCCCCGCACTGCGGTGTCAGCAGGGTCCCACTCCGGCTGTGGATTCGCATACCTGAGTGGCACTGAGCTCGGCCAGACTTGTGAGCGCCTGCAGCGAGTCGCGGCTCGTCTTGGCCCGCTGCAGGATCTGCAGGTATCCCTCGGCCTGGGTGGACGACTGCTCTGGCTTCTTGGTGAGGCGCACCTTTTTGATGGATGGGCCGGCCTCCTGATCGACCGTCACCGTCTGGGTTTGGCTGTACTCGGCCAGTGCTCGCTTCTTCAGCACGGCTGCCATGGTTGCAGCCTAGTCTGTAAATCAGAGCCAATGAGCATTTGATGAGCACTTGATGAGCACATGTCACAGTAGTGGTGGCCCCTTGACATCAATTACAATGTGTAATTAATCTTACCCTGAGGCAGGTTGGAACAACATAAATGTGGCAAGGCCAACACTGTGTGACAAGGCCAATACACAAGCGCATGGATGAGGGAATGCATCCCTGCACTGGTTTGGGTAATTATGCGGTCCTGATCACTGCCTGTGCTCCTCCCCCCTTCCATGAAGGAAAGCTGAAACTGCCAGATTTGCTAAAGGATACTTTATAAACAAAAACCCATTTGGCAGGAAAGCTTGGTAACATTCAATCAATTTCACTAGAGGGACTGAGCTCATCAAATAAAATACAATTTAGTCAATAAAAAGTGCCAGTGTTACAAACCAATAACTTAAAAGACATGAGGGTCAACTAAACCTTTCAGTAGTCAGCAACAATTTTCATGTCCACCATGTAAGGAATGGTGTAAGGTAATACATTATTAGCTGGGCAGGGGCCAGCCATAAATCAATTTTGCATGGAGAAGACCAGTCTGCAAAAATTCACATTAACTCTTTGACATGTTAAGCTGCATTGCTATGCAGTAGGCTGAATCTGGACTATGTGTGACATGAACACCAGCATGAAAAATAATCTGCTGCACCTCAGTTTATGTGACAATGGTGATCAGAACCTTGTTCAGGTGGCACTGAATTCCAACCAGGCAAAACTGAGCAGGTCTTTAATTTGTTTTTGTTTTGCAAAATGGAAGTGGGTATATTGCCTTGAGATAGCTGCAGCAAGATCAGAATTGCTTTAAACATAGGCTTATTGGTTTTGTTGTCATTGGGGCTTTATGATATATTTAGCTGCTGAGGCTTTATGTCATCACATTCTGATGACCTCATGTCACTTGATGGGACATTTTTGGCATACACATTCTGTCTTCAAACAACCATTGTATCTTAATTCCTTGAAACATTGGCTTTTCAAGCAACAAAGCAATGGAAGCAATAGGCCAAACTCAGGGCACCAAAAATTTACAGCACAATGTGCTGATTGTGTGAGATCATAGAGTCAATAATTTTTGGGTGTCATTTCCACCTTTTCACTGCATGTTCAGGTTGACATGCTTTTAGGAGTCAGGAGTTTTGGTGGACCATAACCAAAGCACAAGAGGGAGGTCAATTTCAGGTCTGGAAGAAGGGACAGCATACCATTCTCTAGTGTGGTCAAAAGCATACTTTAACACATGCTGGGGTGGCCGGTTGGATATCCTTTGCTTGAGTGGGGGGGGGGGGGGGCAACTTGATCCTGTGACATGTCAAGAACTAAGAGATCTAGAGACACCAAACTGGCAGGGTGTGTTGGCCTGTATGTGACCTTACTTAGGTCAAACCTTGATATTCCTAGGCCATGACCTTAGGGTTAAATAAGGTCAAACAAGCCTGTTTGGTTACCGGACCGGGAGCCTGACGAGACCGGGACCTACAGGCCTAAGCTCAAACTCCAAGTTGGCTTTCAAAGTGCCTCCGGAACTAAAATACCTATTCTATGCAAAAGTTCACATGCTCATTTAAGGTCACTGACCTTGTGTGACCTTCTCAAGGCAATAATGTTCAAAGCCATACAAGACACTTCAAGTTTTGCACTTGAACAGGTAACAAAGATTATTTCAGGCAGTGTGTTCCTAGTATGGATGTATGTATGGCAGTGTGGCAGTATGTATGTAATGTGAGGACATGATTTTTGGGAGGCCCCCGGCCCTACATGCCCATTAACAGCTGCCACCATGAATGCGGATGTATAAGGCACACATTTACAGGACGTAACCGAAGCATCCTTGGATTTATCCACGACCGTACGGATGCTTACCAAGCTCGGAGAGCGATTAACGACCCAGGTTTAACAGAGGAGAGAAAGCAAATAAGAAATAAAGTCCCCGCGCTTCCATCGGTAAACGCGCACAACTATTTTCGATGCTGTCTAACACGTTTCTCCAGTTTGCTAAGCGATCAGAAGTGCGCAGCAATTGTGTGTTCCGAATTCATGATATGGTAGCCCATTGCGTCACGGAATGTCGCGGGCTTCCAGTAGGGCACAGTTGTGTAGTGTATTCAAGCTTCGACGTACGGCGCAAACACAAAGTAGCTCTAACATGTTCGCCAAGTTAGATCTTTGAACAGCCTATGGCATGGCCAGCATGGCCGATCTTCTCTGCAATGCGGCTCGTAGATAGCACGTGATAGTCGGTTGATTCGTTTTTAGACCCATAGGGTTGTCAATGGACTGCGAGGGAAGCAAGGTGATCAATGTCTCAACTTTCAAAAATGATTTCCATTGTGTAGCGCTGACGATGATGGATTTGTGATCCCTGCGCATAAGGGCATGTCGATTTAAGCTATTGGTACCGGCTTGTAAGGTATGGGATGACAGCCAGAGGACGACCATGGGAATTACATTTGTGGACGCTTCATTCCGCTGAGCTGTCTCTGGCAGTGGCGACGAGGACCGTTTCCTCCGAGGTGTTGGAATGCGTAACAAAATCCGGCCGCAGTTGGCATTTGAAAGGCAGCGACTGAAAGGCCTTAGTATCAAAGCACGCAAGGTGCATCTGCACGCGCGCACGTGGTGATGTGTCAAAGCGAGTTTCGTGCAGGTGGAGCCAGCGGGTGGCGCGTGGCGTGTGTTGGATATTGCGCTGTTTTCATTGGTTTAGCACGGTCGGCGCGAAAAATTGACGCGGGTCGAAGCCGGCAAACGGTCGCTCGAAAGCGCGGCGAAGCGCGGGTCAGGGCGACGCCAAATCAACACGTTTCGACAGATAATTGGCTGGAAATCGCGTGACGTCACGCATGACGATGCACGTGCTACGTGCTGTGTGCACAGCGGGGTAAAGATGGATTTTCCCATTTTGACCGTTTTCCACGTTTTATGCCACATCTCGGTAACTGGAGCCGGTGGAGGCGTGAATCCAACTTCAAAACGTCGACATATGTACCACCTGCAATTTCTACAGTCAACATGAGACTGTCCGATGCTCCTTCGCGCCGGTAATCATCATGCAAGCAAGCAAGGCATGGCGAGATTTCGCGAAGCGGGGCCAACTGCAACACGCTCTCGACGAAACCATGGCCAGGATCGGGTCGAAATTTGCGTCACTGCATACGTGGATTCATTGGCTGTAATTACCACCCATTTGTTAGTCATTATGTACATCCATCCCTACGAACATAAGGTGTGCCCAAAGGGCTACAGTTTCGCTTTTTTGCGAAGCCGAAATGCTATCGATCAGTCGCCCAGTCGCCGCCGCTGAGAAATTGAAGTAAAACGTGAGAAAGCTCACGCGTTGTGACCGAATACAACCGCCGTTTTCTTCTATCCATCCACAGTTCATTTATTGGCCGCGGGTGGAAGAGTTGAGCCGGGATAACAAAGGCATGCATCATTCCGGTGCGCCCTGTCACCAGTAACTGGGAAGATACCGGTGTAGCGAAGTAACTAAGAGGAAGGAGAGCGCATCCCACCAAAGGAGAACGGTGTATGAGGAGCGGCGGCATGGGGGACCGCCCCGCAGATGGAGAACAGCACGAGAAGATGGCCAGGAGGAACAGCTGCCCCGCATGTTGAGGACGACTCAGAAGGGAGAGCAGTAGGAGGATCCCCGTCGGAGATGCGGACGACGCAAGAGCAGGATCTGGAGAAGGGACCGCCCCTCAGATAGAGGAAGGTGTGGGAGGAATATTTATAGAAGGGGCCGCCTTGCAGATGTAGGACGGTGCAGAAAAACGATCTGGAGTAGGTGCCGCTCGCAAGTGAAGGACGGTGCAGGAAGAGGGGTGGGAAGAGAAGCTGCACCGCAGTTAGAGGACGAATGAGGAGGAAGAGTCCCACAGATAGTGGATCGCCTAGAACAAAATGCAGGGGTAGGTCTAGGAGGAGCTATCGGGTTTCCTTCCCCAGGTGTTCTGGCGCAGCGAGAGATGAAATGTAGCAGTACATTTACGAATTTAGAATTGCCAAAGTGGCAGGCGGCACACCTCAAAATAATCGTAACAGCCGCCCAGCAAAACGGGCCGGAGTCACTTGTACAAACCATTTGGGCTTATGGAAGCGCGTTCTGGACACGAGCCACTGTTTCACGGGAGGAGGGGGAAGGGGTAATCTTAGATTACGACGCAAACTGGAGAACAAAGTAAATATTAAGCAGGGAATCCTCGTGTCTAGAACGTCCACCTACACACTTTAGAATCTAAGCCGGGGATGCCGATGATGGGCGTCCCCACGTTCTCACGTCCCCGCTCGTTCACCATCCACATCCGGTTCTTGTCGGGATCTCTGCAGCGAGGAGTCTGTTCGGCCAGGCATTTCTGCGAATCATGACGAACGCATCCACAAATAAGGTACAGCACAGATGGTCTACAGCATACAGCTGCTCTCTTTGTGCATTCTCAAGTACTCAACTCCATCGCTGAGCGAAACAAGCCCGGAAGCATCTGTCATGCAGCATTTTGACATTTTACGTTCGCGGATTTGATTCAATGGAAACAGACCAGATCATCAAGTATCGTAAACGTGAAACAGCTAATAGATGTGTACATCACGATGAAGCAGCTCGCCTGCGGGATAAACGTTTATGGTTATTTTGATAAACCTTGAGACAAACCATGGGTTTTGCTGTTTCCCTTCTGTTGGTGTTATCTCTTCATGCGTTTCAGACTTGTTTTACTAAATTACGCCACCGCCTAATAATGCCAGCGCAAAAAGAGCCCATATCAACGAAAGAGCGGGATAGCGAGGGAGGAAATTGCGCATTCCAAGGGACGGGCTGCCCCTCCCTTCCAGAGGAAAGGGATTGTGTCTGCTAAAGAGGGTTGTTGATAGAGGCTGATTGGAGGTGTCTCTATCTCTCCCACCGTCCCTCCCTTCCTCCCCCTAGACGCGTCCCACTGAGAAAGCTAGTCTGTACTGTACGAGGAGAACAAAGAGGTACTACCTCTTCCAAAAGCTACGGCGGTTTCCACACCCCCTATCCCAGTGATGGTTGCGCCCTGTCGCTCTCTCCGCCTCCCCTCTCTGTCTTCTGGTCGTCCCTTTCCGTTCTCCCACTTACGCTCATCAGGCCTTACGTTGTTTTTATTCAGCCCCTTGACAGGGATCACTGTCATTTAGGTACGCTCTGTCAGCTGTGCAGCTATTCGATTGGGCTCTTAGCGTTACAATAACGTGTATCGCATTTACTGCGTGCACCTGCACTGCATCCGTTGCAAGTACAGCATTCATTCAACTTCTGCAATCTGGTTTGTGTTGATCAGGATGCAGCTGCAAGAACTGGGCGGATGTGCAGCACAAAATCTGTCCGTTAGCTATGATTTTCTTCCCATCAATAATGACGCACAGGCCTACCACTAAAGCCTGCAAGGGCATACCGCTGCAACGCGTATTGAGCTATGCCGGCATACACACCTGCCGTAGCCTGGCAGGTATGCGGTAGGCCAAGGTCGAATGGTTGGGATGTACTTAGTAAGGGATTACGTCTTGAGGAGCCATTCACTGGGTAACATTAGTTGACACCAGTGTCACCTGTTGCCCGGGTCTGTGGCCTTGTATGGAATGTCAAAAGGTCACGGCACTTTTCTCGAACGTTCGCTATATCATTTTGAAGGTAGCACTGTGGAGCATCGACTGGTCATCGCGTGGCCAGGGCACGTTTGAGTACGAAACATGATTCGAAAGCGGTATTCTTTCGAAACCGTAACAGACTGCGTCGCCGGTGTGCTGTAATATGCATGTACGCGCGCTGTACATGGTGCCGACGCAGTACAGTTCCACATCACTTGCGCCCCGAACGACCTTGACCGAGCTCAGCGCGATGCTTCCTTTCAGAGATGCACTCGTTCGCATCACAAACAGCAATTAGCTGCGCGTCTGGCCTGCGCTTCCTGTCACGAACCGCGGCCGGGGCCCGCCAGCTGTGTCGAGGCGCAAACCGTGAGGGCGTGGCGCGCATAAAACGCGCCCCCGCAAGCAGGAGGGCTCAGTCGTCCCCAGTTGACGCGCACCCTGTCAGCTCCCCGAGATGGTGCGTCCAGAGTTCAGCGGTCTGCTCTGCCTCCTGGTTGGAGTGCTGTTCGCCCCGTCCTGCAGTGGGTGAGGAATCAGCGGAGTTGATTAAGCCCTCCCCATTTCGACTGTTGCTGGCCAAACGCAGCGGTTCGCCATACTTCCTAGTAATGTTCGAGGCGTTTGAGTGCACTGGGCACGCGGTCCTTAACTAGTCCATGGGAATGTTTCGCTGTTTTGAACAACGACGCCGGCTGGAGGTCCTTTCCTCGCATTCGTCGACAAGGGCACGCACGACAGAGTGGCAAGTCGGTGTGAAACGTAGGCCTGTTCGGCAATATATTATGTAACATTTGTTTTTTACTGATATGACAATTGTAGGGATATCCCACCCGTTCGACTATTGTCCTAGAATTCTTAAAAAAGCCTGCGCTCTTTCCTTGTAGTATCAAAAGCTTAATTTTCCGGTGCTTCATTTGGCCCCGCACTAGCGCCGTATGTGTATCTCATGCAGACTTGGATGCATTCCAAATTCTGCTGCGCTAATCGAATTCCGGTGCGATTTGGCCCAAAGCCAAACACAGGTATGCGTGTATGCGTGCTACGATTGGTTTGGCTAATTGCAGAATGTTATGCGCTACATTTCAGGACGTTCAAGTGCGCCATGTATGTGATGGACCAGCCGGGCAACGCCTTCGGCAAGATGTACGAGGGCAAGGAGATGATGCAGCCCGCAATAGACTGCGCCGCTCCCGACATGAACATCATGAAGGTTGGCTGCGCCGCCTGGGTAAGCACCTGGTGGATCTCTTTCGCCGCCTGAGGAGAGATCTGCAGCTCCACGGGGCGATGGAGGAGTAAGACTCGGCCATATCATGTCTGACCCAGGGTCAGCATCGGGTGTGCTCTCCTAATGATACAC